AGATATTTCCTTAGTGGGAAAATTTAACTGCTATTTCACATATTTTTATTAAAAGCTTTCTTATTTAGGTAAATTGTATTTCTTTTAGGAGTTTATTTTGCCTAACTTCCAATTGTGCTGGCATAAAATTATAGTACTCTATTATCTTTCTAATCTGATCTATCTCTAGTTTTGTCCTTTTTATTCTCAGTGTTTATGCATTCTCTTTTTTCTCATCCATCTTACCAGGTTTGTCTACTTTTCTAGTCTTTTCAAAGAATCAACTTTTAGCTTTGGTCATTTCTCAAGTAGTCTCTAAAACTCTTTATCATTTTATAGCTCAATGGTCCATACCTGTCCTTTAACATGACTATCTGATACAAAATCTTTTTCCTTAGTATAACCTGAATTCCAACACAGCTGACCTTATGGCTCAGGCTCTGCTTAACCAATTTCAGCTCTAAATTAGCTTTTCAGTTTAGCAAAAAACCCTTTTAAATGTAATGTTATTCCAGAATTCCATGACTAGGACATCTTCCTTGTACTTTGCCTTATACTTATGCCTCTGTACAAGAGATTTTCCCCACCTAAAATATCTTTTATCTTTTTAGAAGCCAACAAAAATATTTGTAACTGATAATTTATACTGTTTTCATCAAGTTTTGTAAAACTACCACCACACACTACTGGTGGTCTCTTTCCATCCTATGTTCCCATAAAATATTTACATTTGGATTACATTATCACAGAATAATATATTTTTTTAGGGGTGGGGCAAGTACTATGGATTGAACTCAGGGCTTCACACATGCTAGGCAAGAACTCTACAAGCCTTTTAAAAATTTATCTTCAGACAGATCTTGCTAAGTTGGCCAGGCTGGCCTCAAATTTACAATCATCCTGCCTCAACCTCCCAAATAGCTGGAATTACAGGCATATGCCACCATGCCTGTCTACGTAAGTAATTTTTATTCAATTTTACGATGTCCCAGGCACTATTTGAAATAAATATTAACTTATTTCTCATAGCAATCCTAGTAAGTATGATTATTTCCATTTTCCCAGATGGACATACACAGAAGTTATATAGTTACATAGCTAGTAAGTAGCTGAACCTGGATTCAAATCCCTTAAGTCTGTCTCTAGACCATGTGTTCTTGACCATCGAACTATGCTTCTTTCAATTGTTCTAATAATATTCTCCTAAACCTGGGCAAACCACAGGTTTACAGGGTCCCAGGCTACCATATTTCCCTCGTTAAGGGATACAAGTTTTCAAATTCTTGAGAAAGAAGCAACTTTGATGATTTAATATTTTTAATACAAAAACAATTTTTAGGCAAAACTAAGATGTACAGTCGTACTCCAGTCATTCTGTAATGACTGAATGTAATGAAAAAATGCCATGGATAGTTATATAAATGGCCCTTTATAAGAAATGTCTTAGACATTTCACTATGGATAAATAAAAGCACAAAAGTATAATTTTGGCATAAAACTTTATCTATGATGTTGCATTATAACCTATGTTTATCTTCTTGAGACCTGTGGTCCAGAAACCAAATGTGTTTTTTTTTAGAGAGAGAGAGAAATTTTCTTTTTAATATTTATTTTTTAGTTCTCGGCGGACACAACATCTTTGTTGGTATGTGGTACTGAGGATCGAACCTGGGCCGCACGCATGCCAGGCGAGCGCGCTACCGCTTGAGCCATATCCCCAGCCCCAGAAACCAAATGTTTATGACACCAGATTTAACATTACTTTAAGACCTAAAAGTTTTGAGGCCTGTCATTTTAGTGTTAAGAGTTCAAACATAGGGGTTGGGGTTGTTGCTCAGTAATAGAGCACTTGCCTGACACGTGTGAGGCACTGGGTTAGATCCTCAGCACCACGTAAAAATAAATAAATACAATAAAAAAAATTGTCTATCCGCAACTAAAAAATATTTTTAAAAAAGAGTTCAAACTTGAATAAAAAGCATGAATCTACTACTTAAAGCAATGTTATAAGTGTAAGGCAATTCTGGAAAAAAAAAAAAAAACTACAAAACAGCTAAGACTAAGTATAATCAACTGAACACTGATTAAAAGTCTAGAGTTAAAACCCAGTTACTATTTCACTGCAAGTGAGGAAAAGCCAGACACCAATTAAGGAGAAGTACTAAGCAAATAATTACAAAATACTAGATTCAGTGAATGTAAGATGCTAGTGATTGTTAGCAGCACTATTATTTTATCTCTCTCTAAAAAAGAATAAAAATAAAACCTGCACCATTTAAATTGTGATATGCTATCGACTGTTGGACACGTCCAGATTTCAAAAATGAGAAAAAAAACCCTGGATTTTAGAACCAATGAAATATAGTTTAAATCACTATTTAAAATAGTGATTTAAATATAATCAGGTATGAGGAGACCGAATTCAATTCAAGGCATACTAACATTCAATTCAAATAACATCATTAATTAAAGGGAATTAAGGACTGTGCTAAACATTCTAGAACATAAAGCTGGCACATTTTCCTCCTCAAGGTGCTCAAGAGTTGAGAAATTTAACACTCCTAAGAACTGTAGTAATAATAAATTTCAATCTGAAATATTCAGGCATTTTGAATGTAGTAATTTGATTCAACTGTATATTTATTCTAAAAAAACACTCATTTATGCAAACTGGCCAATGCAAAAATAAATAAATAAAAAAGTAAGACTTGGAAATCTAACCAACCAGTTTTGATAATTTTGCTAAATGGAAAATTATGTAATGACTACAAGTATAATCTGAAAGACTACATAGCACTATGGAAAAGTATGATTGTACTACTGCTATTAAAGAGAATAGTTCTGTCTTAGGGGGATATGATGAAGAATTTTATGGCAAAGAGTTTAGTATCTCCAATTTAATCTTAAAAGGGCTCAGAACAAACAAAAACTAATATATATACTGTTCAAGCAAGTGGAACTAAACATAAGCAACTGGTAAATATGTGTAATGGCTGTACAAAAACTTTACTATTCCTGCAACTACTACCCTAGTGGAAACTATATCAAAATAAAAAGTTACCAAAACATTTAGATTTGTGAACAAAAATGGAAAACACACACACATAAAAAGCAATTTAAAAATGGAAAAGACGGAGGGGGGAGGGTGGAGGATGGGAAAGGCAGCGGAGCACAACAGACACTAGTATGGCAATTTGTAAATCAATGGATGTGTAACTGATGTGATTCTGCAATCTGTGTATGGGGTGAAGGTGGGAGTTCATAACCCACTTGAATCAAAGTGTGGAATATGATATGTCAAGAAATTTGTAATGTTTTGAACAACCCACAATAAAAAATTAAAAAAAAAAAAAAAATGGAAAAGACTGTGGATGCTTTATTTTTGTTAATAAGTATCAAGTAGTTTTCATAATATAGGCTGTGTTCCTTGGGGCCAGGAATGTTTTAGATTTCCAATATTTTCCCATTTTGTAATATTTGCATGTACATGTAATATTTGTGGATGACACCCAAGTCTAAAACCAAATTCATTTGTTTCATATACACCTTACAATATAGTTTTAAGGTAATTTTATACAATGTTTTTAGTGCATTTGCATTTTTTGGGGGGGGCTGCATAATAATAAATTTTATTTTATTGGTAGATAAATAATTATACATAACAGTAGGAAGTACATGTACATAATTTGATCAATCTCATTTCCCAATACCTTCTCTTCACCCTTTATCCCCAGATTTGTTTTAACTGATACACATCATAAGATGTCAGGTGTGGAATTTTCCACGTGTGGTATCATATTGGGGCTCAAAAAGTTTCAGAGTCCGGGGAAGGGGAATGGGAAAGACAGTAGAATGATTCTGACAAAACTTTCCTATGTTCATATATGAATATATAACCAGTGTAATTCCATATCACATACAACCACAAAAATGGGAAGTTGTACTCCATGTATACATGTCAAAATATATTCTACTGTCATGTATAACTAAAAATTAAAAAAAAAATTTTAAAAGGATGTGCTATATGAGTTTATAGTTGAAGGAAATTTTGATATTGGAGAGAGGAGTGATTACTTAAATGTCCACAAAGAGAGTATGCAGTATCAATATTTATACATTAAAGTCTTTCTGAAATTTTAATATTTGATTTGGAGTTTGAATAAACACCTTTAAACAAAAAAAAGTATGAGTCTCATTTAAAAAGTTTACATGCTTAGCGAAAAGAATAATGATAAAAGAAACACTGTTGCTTAAATTTAGAAAATAAAATGCAGTCTATCCAACTATAATGGGGAATTACCATATGCAGGAAAACTATCTAGAGTAAACTTAATAAAAATATTCATACCTTTAGTTGAGCCAAATAACAATCACCTGTAGTAAATATGTATTGATAATTTATGACTATGGAATTAACTGATGGAGAAACTTTCAATAATTGAAATACCACTTTAACAGAAACATTTAATATATGTATATTTAGGTTTCTCATGTTTCATAACATCAGATCAATTAACCATCTATTGAAAATGTAAAAGATGAAAATTTGCTATTTGGTCCAAATTCTACAATTCAGATTTAAGAAATCCCTCTGCATGTTTTCAGGCAGTATAGCACTATACACAAAGAAGCTTCCTGGAAAAGTTAATACATTTCCAAGACTATAAACGGTTGCATTTTAAACCTATATTGATATCCCTGAGTAAAATAAATGAATCAAATTAATATCGCAAAACTGGTTGTTAGAAAGGAAAAACACAAACAGGATTACAAATAGAAAAAAAAAAATCACTCCATATCTGGGTTTCTGTTGAAAGAATAAAGCCACCTACAATTTTTATGCTGAAGGAGATGAAGTCAAAATTCTACTAATTAAGCACAAAAAAGAATAAATTTGCCCCCACAAAATACTGAGAAAACTAATAAGCTATTAATTATACTTACTGAATGAATAAATCTTAAATTGATACTGATATCAAATCTATTATCTTAAAACAAACATCTTTATAAACATCATTTACCTTTTTATCTTCTTTTACTTTGTGGGTTTTCTTCTTCATCTTCTTTTCATCGACTTCCTGGTCAGAAGTGATTGCAGGATTATCAATACCACCTTTCCAAGTTTCAACAGGAGAAAGAAGTGGATCTTCTTCACTTCCACGATGTCTTCCTTTTCTTTTTGTTTTTGAAGTAGTGAAAGCTTCATCATCACTTGCATCTGAATGTGTTCTTCTATAATATGACTTGGCTTTACTAAACAAGGTTTTAGATTTATATTTATATTTAGAAGGCCTCCGTTCCCCATGACCTTTTGAGGTTCTATCAGAAAATCCATTTTCTTCATCTCCTTGTGTGTTATTTACAAATGAGTTTCGAATTTTAATAATTCGATTCTGACTATCATCTGGGACAACATAAATCTCATCAGAATAGCCCTTCTGTTTGAAAATTGTGTCAATGGGTTCTGCGTAGTTATCTGAAGAATCCATATCTTCAGGATGTGCCAAAGGCACCCGGGAGGTCTGTTTTCTTGGATTTTTACCAATACCAGCTTCAATTGTTTTTAAGAGATTTGGATCCAATTTTTTCACATTTGTCTTAGGTACAACTGGTTTAGGTTTAATAGGTGGAGGCACTTTATGGTTGCGTTCATGATCATGACAGTTTGGAGTGCTATGAACAGGGTATTCATTTCCTTCCAAATCTAACCTGTATCTGGAACGGTCACTAGGTGTTGGAAGCAACTGTACATCATCCCCAATTGGACTATAAGGAGGTGGTGCTTCTGTATCATCATCTGAATCAGGGTAGTTGTTATAAGGAAAACAATCTCTGGGAGATGGTAGAAAAACATCTTCACTTTGATGTGTTGACTCCCTTGTATTATCAGACAAGTAAGAATTTTCTATCATATTTTTTTTCTCTAGAACATCACTAAAAAACAGAGTAAAGACCTCAGTTTGCCGATGATACTGAGATAAAGAATACAATGCTGTAAATTTAGCAGTGATCTCAGTTGCAATGTGTTCTCCTTCAGTCATTAACTCCTTGATAGCCTCATTTTCAAAAAAATCTGCTTGGCTGTCAGTAACTGCCACCAGTTGTACAGGAATGGTATCTTGAACTTCTGATAGAAATGCTCGAAGCATTCCCATTGATGCTTTCCGTTTAGCGGAGTAAACTAATATATACCCATGAACCAGTTCATCCTTCCTTACTCCAATTGAAGAGTGATATGACAATATTGTGATCTGTATTCGCCTCCTTTTTTCACCGATAATTTTATCAAGCATTAAGGAATTATTTTGTCCAGCTTGAGCAGCACTGCAAGAATGAGAATCAAGGAATGGTGAAAGAATAAGATCCACACTAAATGGATCACCACACATGGCACACATGACAATTCTCAAGTCAGCTTCTGATACATCCTTATTGGTGGGAACTGGGCTCACCACATCTAAATTGTGTTTAACTGATTCCAGTACTCCTCTTAGAGCTTGCTTTATTTGGGTTTCATTAAATTTACGAGGATATGTACCTGCAGGCACATCTACAAAAGGACACTGTAACTTGTTTGCCAATTGCTGCCCTTGGTGCCTGAGAATGGGAAGGTTCTTGCTAATGGAATCTCTCTGATTAGCCAGAATTAATGTAAATGGAAGATTAGCCATATACTTATCTTTTCTGATCTGGGAAGCTTCAGTTCTTATTTTTCCAATAAATTCCCCAATAAAACTCAGTGACTCAATGGAATTAAATACACAGAAGCACCCATGTGGTTTAAAGGCAGCAGTCCATAATTGACTCAAAATGTAAGGCGATTTGGCATCAACTGGCCGAAGATCAAGTTCATAAATTTTTCCATCTAAGGCATACTCATCATCAGTGGACTGTGTCCTTATCTCATTTGCTAGTTCTTGGGCAAGTCCATCTTTCCCTAAAATGAAAAGGTTAACTTTATCTATATTGGTACTATCATGATATAACCGTGAGCGGCCATGATCCAACTGCAAAAGACTACTAGCAAGTAACTGTTCCACTTTAATGTCTGTACAATTTTGGCCACTAAGGCATGTTTCTTTAGTGGGATGATAAACAAATCCGATATGCTTAAGTAGAAGAGATTCCCTATCAGGTGCAAGTTTCTGTAAAGCTTTATATCTAGGTTCTTCACTCAGAACTGTATGAATTTCGCTCATTTTATCTGAACTTGGTGTTGCGTTAAGATCTAAATCATAAAAAAGTTCAGAATGCTCAAAAAGCATTTCCTGAAACTCTTCTTTGGCTTTTTCAACTATCTCTCGCTGATGCCTACCATATACCTCCTTACTATCAGTCTCAGTGATATATTTGAAGGCTTCATCCTCCATAACAAAGCACATAACTTCCTCCCATGGCTGTCCAGGTGAAATGAAATGAATTTTTTCCAAAGTCTTTTTGAATTTTTCCTTCATTTCTACTCTCCTTTTCTCTGATATTAGATGCTGTACATGGTTCTGGTAGACTTTTTCAGCTTCTAAAGTGCCTAGGAGGTCAAATGGGATTCGTCTATCATTAATTTTGTCTATATGGTCAGTTTCATCCCAAGGTGTTTTTTCTAGCACCACAAAACATAACTGGAAATCTGCTCTCTTCTCCATTAACTTCAAAGCTTCTGACCAGTTCATATGTTCAATCTCTTCTAGATTTGGCAAAAGAGTGTTAAAAGCTCTTGGTAAGGTACTTATATATTCTTCTCTCCTTTTTCTTATATGTTCCTGTTTAAGTTGTTCTATGTGTTTTGAGAATGTATTTCTGGCCTTTCTTGTTCCCTCTAAGTTGATGTATTCTTCATAATCAGGATGATTTTTTAATTTGTTACTAACAGTTTTCCAAGTTGCATGATAATCTCTCACAGTCTGCACAAGTTTTTCAAACTTATCTGTTGCTGTGACAACAAGTTGTCTCTGTGTTTTATAAGCATCCAGATAGGGAATAATTTTAGGCTTGCCACGAGTTTTATCCAACATTTGTACTAGTGCAGTGAAACATGTCTCAATGTTGACATTAAATCGTGCTGATGTTTCTACTACAAGAAGGTTCTTTTTGTTTGAAGCAAATGCCTGAACTTCTCTAAGATAATGATCCACGCATTCATCACATTTAGTTGCTGCTATTATTACAGGTTTTTTTGATTTTGACAGCTGGATAAAAAGGTTGTTCACAAATTTAAGTTGATCATCAAATTTCCTATTGCATCCCTGACTTACATCAATGCACAATAAAAATCCATCTACATTGAGCTTCCCTTCAGGCATCTGCTTCTGCTCAAAGTCTTGCTCTAAGCCTAGTTGATCAGTGCAAATGTACATTAGTTTTTCCGCTGACTGCAATTTAGAGGCAGCTGCACGTTTTATATATGGTTGCAAATTCGTACTCCGATGAGGCAAGAAAGTCTGGTCATCAATGAACTCTGTTTGTTCAATGACATGAATTTTGCATTCTACTCCATCTTCACCATTTTGTGTTATGTCACCCCAGTATAAAAAGTGATCATTGTTTACTACTCGTCCTCCAAAGTCAATGGTGCTAAGCACAGAAGTATGCTCTGGATAATATTCATCTGCTTTTGAGCGTACAAATCTATTGCACAAACAAGACTTTCCAACTCCACAGTTACCTTTGTCTTTTTCAGTCCCAGAGAGTCCAACTACACTGATAGTATAGGATGGGGGACGAGGCTCTTTGTTTTTTGCCATCATAACCGTTTTCTCATGTCTCTACATTCATAAAGGTAACCATGTATACTTCTCATTCTGAAAATATCATCTCAAAATACAGGTCCCAAATTTCAGAATTGTATTTGGTTCTTTGTATTTCCCTCATTTCTGCGCAAAGGTCTTCAAGGTCATATGGATCATCTTCCTAGAAAGAGGGGGGAAAAGGACAAATCTTAATCATGAATTATTCAGACTGAATTACCATATTAAAGATGTTCATAAAAGCACTATGCAAGTTAATAATAATCCTAGTTATAAGGTTACATGTATTTTAAGAAACCAAAACATAAACAGTTGACTCACTATTAAAAATGCAAAATGCTCTCAAATTTTAAGACAAACCTGACAATAAAATAATTAAATACAAAAACCTAACATAATATTTCACTCTAAAATGCCTACTAACCAAATGTGCGCTTTGCCTCTAATTACTCTTTGTGAATCTGAAAAAAACTAGTCCTTTCCACTCCCTTAATTTTCCTGCCTTCTGTAAGACTATGTTGGTAATAACTAAAATGCATTGGTTATTTTAGCAACTCCTTTGTGACTTTTAAAAAATACCAACAATCTTTCTATTACAGATTTCCTCAAAATTTATTCCCAGGCTGGGGTTGTAGCTCAGTGATAGAGTGCTTGCCTAGCATGCAAGGCACTGGGTTCAATCCTCAGCACTATATAAAAATGAATAAAAGTTCATATGAATTTAACAAGATTTCAGAATCTAAATTTTTCAGGAAGTTTCAACTTCTATGGAATCTATCAAATTTTATGCCCCAAATTAAGAATATTCAAATATTTACTGGGGGCACAATGGCACACACCTGTAATCCCAGGGGCTCAGGAGGCTGAGACAGGAGGATCTCAAGTTCAAAGCTAGCCTTGGCAACTTAGTGAGATCCTAAGCAACTCAAGAGAGATCATGTCTCTAAATAAAATTGGCTGGGGATGTGGCTCAGTGGTTAAGTGCCCCTGGGTTCAATCCCTGGTACCAACAAATAAACAAACAAACAAATATATAAAATACTGAAAGAAGGGAATTGAAATAAATGGAGAGGTGAGAGTATAGCTCAGTAGTATGAATTTCACCCCCAGCAAGAAAGAAAAAAGAGGGAAGGGAGAAATGGAAAAACAAAGAAAGGGAGGAGGGAGCAGGGGTTGTGGCTCAGTGGTAGAGTGCTCGCCTAGCATACATGAGGCACTGGGTTCGATCCTCAGCACCACATAAAAACAAAATAATGTGTTCACCTAAAACTAAAAAAATACATAAATAAATAAATATTTTTTTTTAAAAAAGAGGAGGTCGGTGGGTAATATACATAACGACAGCAGTTAAGTAGATTGGTGCTTTTCAAACTCTAAGATGGAAGAGATCTTTATTTTCATATGGATAAGTCCAATTGTAAAATAATTTTTTTTTAAAAACCAAGCATTTTAATTAGATTCAAGATATATAAAATTATTGTCAAACTGTTTCTAAATGTTCTTGATTTCTGTATTTTCTTTCAGAGTAATCAATAGCTTTAAGACCATATTCTGAGTAGTACCAAGCTAAATAATTTTAAGATTATATATTTGAGACAATCTTTTAGAATTTTTAACATTATCAGACACATTAAGTATCCTTCCAAGAATTATGAAATTTAATTTTGGTTACATATTTACAAGTAAGCAATGAATCACTTTTAAAAATTAAGTTTTATTTGGAGAGTCTTCATATACTTTTGAGGCTGAATTAAAAGCAATATGTCATTTCTACCACCTAAACTTTCACTAGATAGGAAAAATATATTCAGTCATGTACATCAACATATACGAAAATTATTTACAATGTAGACCCCCCCCACAAATATAAAAAGAACACAAAATATTTTAAGGAAAGACTGTATTAGCTCTCCCCTTCCAAATTGCTGGCTTCTTCCCTGATCTCAATTGCAAGGTAACATTTATTTTTATTATAGTGCACATTTGCTATACTAATGGTGAAACTCTCCTTATAATTTAAAGGCTTGACTAATATTTCTGGCAAAACTGTAATAATTTTAAAAATAAAACTGAAGATTATTACATTTTATAAGTTAATTCTATCAGCCTCAATTAAATTTTAACAATCAGCCATCTGATAGTAAAACAAAATGTGTATTAGGTTCACTTCTGAATAAATATTACCATATGGCAGCAACACTTGAATTATATAATGAAATACAACTTTTTATGAAAGAAACATCTAAGATATAATTCAGAGACTATATCTAAAAAGAACTCAAAGATGTTTAAGACTGTCTCTTGCCTTCCAGTTTACAAGACAGACAGGTTAACAGAAAAATAACACCACTATGTGATAAAGACTTGAAATATTAAAGAAATTTTTCAACTAAAATCTAATCCTTATCAAAACAGTAACATCTTTATTAATACTTCTTATATATTCTTACCTGAACACAATATAATTCTGGATACTTTTACTCATTAAAAGTTAAGACTTGGGGCTGAGGATGTAGTTCAGCTGCAGAGTCAGCTGCTTGCCTAACCTGTGCAAAGCCCTGGGTTCAATACCCAGCACCACCAAAAATAAGACTCACCTCTGGTCTTTTATAGAATAAATCCCAAAATACTGAAATATACTTTATTGCTTTAGAAAGCTAAGAGTAGAAATGAAAACACTCTACCATAAAATGTATTATTAAAGTTTCTGAGTTTCAAAAAGGGTTTTAAAATTATAAAAATGAAGATCAAGTGGAGACATGGAAATCTTTTTTTGTTGTTGATGGACAAACATCATTTATTTATTGATTGATTTGTGGTGCTGAGAATTAAACTCAGTGCCTCACACCTGCTAGGAAAGTGCTCTACCACTGAGCTACAACCCGAGCCCGAGACATGAACTCTTCACCTTGTCATTGGTCACTGAAAACTGGAAGTCTTTTTATCTAAGAGACAAACTCCTATTATATTGAAGTTAAATTTTAATACTAAGGCTTCAACTCATCCTAATTAACAGGACAGTAGCAATCCACCAATCATGAATATTAAAGTTCAAATAAAAAATAAATTAGTTTTCTGTGAGTTTTACGGTTTTCACACCAATTCACAACAATCTGTCAATTAGACACAGTGAACACCAAAGTCCTTTAAAAACAAAAAACCACTGCCAGACAAGCTGCTTCCTGGTATTCTGAAGTCAGTCCCAGAGCTTATGACATGAATTACCACACGGTGATTTTTTATAAAAATTATGGTAGAAAAAATCCTTTCACCTAGAGGTAGGAAAGATGAATGTTGGGCAAATAGTTGCCTTTTCAACTATGACTAGTGTCATCTTTGCTTAATTTACAGGTTTGACTCAGAAGATTTAGTTTGAAATGTTTCAAAATTAAAAAATAAAAGTTTGAGAAACCCTAGACTAGAAAAAATTGTTGCTACACTGACCTCAAAAGGATTTTGCTAGGTTTTTACTATGGTTAAGTGATATAATAAACTTTAAAGGGTAAAGTTAGAGCTCATGAAGTTGGCCCTAAAAGGTTTATAAGAGAATTTCATTTCAGACACTGGGATAGTTATATTATTAATTATCCACTGGCTTCTAACATCAAAACTGTACTCCATTAACTAACCAAAGTAGTTTTATTTTTAATTTCAGTGCTAAGAATAAAAAAATTCCCTTCTGTCTTTTATGTTCCCATTAATAAACCAATGACTACTATCTTCAACTGTATATAGGTTAAGATAAAAAAGTTATCTTTCAAATATGATCACTTAGTATAGTATCCAACTGTGTCAACTATGCATATCTTCTCTTTTTTTGATGTAATTTTGCTTTTGTATACAGTACCTTGGTTTCATAACTTCTAACAGCATGTTTACTTTTACTGATGAAAAAAACCAAGACAAAAGTAGCAATGACCTACGCGATACTATAATATTTGGTAGGATCAAAGCCTCTTCATGCCCAATCTTAGTACTGCTTTTAATACTATACAGTCTTTCATTTTGCCTTTAAGATGACCTTAGAAACTTGTTTTATTTCAAGGAAATATTTCAATAATTATCTTAACAGAAATTAATGACAATGCATTATATACATGAAACTCTTTATAATTATCTATCAAAATGAAGCCATTTCTACAATAGGCCATTCAAACATTACATGCCCCTTTTAATGCAATTTTACTGACATGTAGTGGCTTTCTGAAAATTAAGAGAAAAAAAGTTACACAAGAACTCTCAAAGTGGAAAAAATATTTTTTTAATAATTCAGGACTTAAACCAAAACATTTTTAGAAAACAGAATAGTAGTTACCAGAGTTTTAGAAGGGTATGGGAAGAGGGATGAAAAGGATGGTTTATGGGTATAGGGGTATAGATAGGAGGAATAATGTCTAATGTTCTATGGCATACATAGAACATACTACCATAGGATTATGGTTGACAATAGTGATTTCAAAATAGCTAGCAGAGATGATTTTAAAAATTCCTGACACAAAAAAATGATACATGGCTGCAAAAAGAGATGTCAATCATCCTGATTTGATCATTCATTACACACTGCATACATGTATTGAAACGCTATGCTATACCCCATAGATACGATCACCATGTGTCAATTAAAATATAAAATTAAATGTCAAAGAATTAGTTTAAAAAAATAAAACTGTTCTATATCTTTTTACAAAACTGTCACATTCATTAATAAAAGGTGCAATTTAGCTGGGCGCAGTGGTGCACACCTATAATCCCACAGGCTGGGAAGGCTGAGGCAGGTGGATCAAGAGTTCAAAGTCAGTCTTAGCAACTTAGTAAGAAACTTAGCAACTCAAGTGAGACCTGTCTCTAATAAAAAAGGTGCAATTTTTAAAAAGTATGCTTTTAAATTGCTATGCTATGTCAGGAAATTCCTATTGGCCCTATCTTCAAAATACATTCATAACTTACCTATTTCTGCTAACTTTATTATTATAACCTCATCCTACCTTCCTCATCTCTGGCCCAAGCTTACTTAAAAGTCTTTACTAATTTCCCTTATTCACTCCTATCTCCCCCTCCCCCTACAATCTATTTATATCCATGCAGTTGGAATATTCCTTTTAAAACCTAAGTCAGAGTTTGCCATTATTCTGTCCAAAACTTTCCGGTGCTTTTTATTACCAA